AATTTATTTTTGTTTATTTTTTTACTTCCCTGCACTTCAGGTTATAAGTAAACTTATAAGTAAACTTATACTTATAAGTAAACTTATAAGTTTACTTATAACTTATACTTATATACTTATATAAGTTTATAAACTTATATAATGAAAGCTGTTATAAGTAAAAGCCTTATGAATGAATGCTACGGGTACCAAAGAGATGTTCCTTATACCTCACTGTGTTGCTCTGAGATAGCTCACAGCAGAAATGCTAATTTATTCTGAAAAACAGGATCAGAGTACTGAGAAAAATAAGTTTTAACCTATGAACTATGAAATGAATAACTGATTCTGTTTCTCTGTATATATTGGCTTTCAGAAATCTTACTGAATTTTTGCTATGCTCTGAAAGTATATGGAAATCATATTACAAATTTTGTGATCTAACCTCACCTCTGACTGCATCCTACTCTTCTCTTGTTTATTTTGTTCCTCCTATCTATCTTGGTGTTCTGAATACTTCTCCATAAGCCACTTCAAATCCCTTTTAACATAAAATAGAATATTAATAATAAATGATGTTTGAATGTCTTTTCACTTTATAAAGGCTTTCTCAAAATAATGACTAAGCAAGAGATAAGGATCTGATATTGTCATAGTTTAGGATCTTTGTGAAATGAATTCAAACAAGATAGAGTTTAGAGTGCAGGATGTTTATTAGGCAATATCCTTATGATCAGCCCCTGGGGATGGAAGAAGAAGGGGGTTTGAATATAGTAAGAAGTAGAGCTTCAATGGAGTCTGGCAGCCTCAGCTGCCCGTGTGGAGCTCTGAACCTAAAATGGCCCATCAAAGCTCTCCTACATTGGGCTAAAAGGAAAAGGTCTTTATACTCCTTACCTCAAGCAGCCATTGGGTGTTAGCTACTCTGGGCAGGCCTTGACTTCGGCAAGGAGGCTCTCTGCAGCTGAGACTATCCTCAAAAGGGCCCTGAATATTGTCTTCTAACTACACTCCCAGTATCTAGAGAAAGAAGCCCACCCTTGATAAGGGAAGTGAAGCACCCCACCTATTACAAATACTCTAGGTGAGTTATGTACCCTAAGGAAATTACAATACCCTGGAGACGTTAAATATTTTTGAGAAGTTATTTTGATTATAGAGTTATGTGCTAGTCAAATCTCCTTCTACTCTGACCAGAGAAAACATAGAGTATATTTCCTTGAAAGGGAATGAGTTGAGCAATAAACACTTCATATGTGCTTGTTTAATACACAATATCTATGAGTGTCTAATCTGTGTTCTATACAACCTAGACTTTAAATGTCATGGAGAACTAAAAGTAGGAACCATGTCTTAGTCCATTTTATGCTGTTATAACAGAATATCCCCGATTGGGTAATTTATAATGAACAGAAATTTATTTGGCTCATATTTCTCGGGGCTGAGAAGTCCAAGAGCATAGTGCCAGCGTCTTCCAAGGGTCTTTGTGCTGCATCATCCCATGGCAGAAAACAGATGGCCAAGAACAAGAAAGCAAGAGGGGGCCTAACTCACTTTTATAAGAAACCCACTCTCACAACAACTAATCCAATCCCATGACAGCAATATTGAACCATTAATGAGAGCTCTCATGAATGAATAATCAGCTTTTATTTGACTGCACCTCAGACACTGTTCCTTTCAAGATTAATTTTCCAACACATAAACTTTGGGGGACAGATTCTAACCATAGCACAATTCCTGACATATATTCAGGTGGGAGGTGTTTATATTTCATGTTTCTTATCATTACAGTATTGTACTAGGGAGCCCTGGCTTCATAACAAGTCCTCTAGCCTCACACACTTATACACTTATAAACAAAGAAATGAGTTCTTTGTAAATATATCACATAGTTCGAAACAGTGAATAATAGGTCATTTGATTTATCAAAACCATGTTATATATAGGTAATGAAAAATTTTATTTTATTACTAAGTCTATTAGCCAGTTTCTACCCTTTTAAAGCCAGGCTCCAAATTATCACATTCTTCAAATTTCATAAATACATAGATTACTCAGCTCCATTGGATAAAGAAAAAATGTAAAGAGAAATGAAACGTACTTGTGGAGTAAGTAGTAACAGGGCTATATGTAAACATTAGTTTGCATGGTGTTCGATAAAAGTTATAAAATATTTTTCTTTTTTGACTTAAATACATTTTTTCCTATTAAATCAAAGCAAATAATTGAAGTGGGATTTTTATTACTGTTTTTTATTTGTTTTGTTTTTGTATGTTTTTATCATTTGTCTTTTTTTGACTGGTATGGACCTTAAAGATCTTCTTGTCTTATGTCCCTTTTGAAATGAGAAAGCCAGAGTTCAGAGACTTAATAATTGCCTATTTCCAGATTAGAATCCAGGTTTTCCTATTCCTACTTTAGTGTGTTTCCTCCTCCATTGCTCCATATATTTATATTAATAGCTCTAAGAAGTCAAGCACTAATAAATTTCTCAAACATAGTGTCTGTGTTGACAATATATCCACTTTTTATCCCTTTTCAAAATGATTAGAAAAGAATAGTTCCCTGGAGTACATGCAACAATTGAAGGTGAGCTTTGTTTTTACCAGCCAATGTATGTTTGACATCAGTGATTAATACAGTTTTCCCTCAGTTGCTACGCTTCTTTATCTTGGTGCATAAACGACTGACAGATTGTTAGGCAAAGAGCATAAGCTTCAAAACTATGCTGATACCCCTGGGCATCAGACAATCTAACAAATTTAGGGACTGAAGAGGTGTACACATCAGTTTATTTTTGTTCATTGAGAAGAAATGTAGTGGGGTTGACTTTTTATGACATTTATGTAGTACTTGAATTGACTGACAAGCCTATTAATGTATTCCCTGAACTTTATTAATGTAATATGAAAAATGCCTACGTGTCAATCAACTTCTAACAAGTAATTACGTTCATAAATACTGTAAAATTATTAGCTTTTAATTTTATCCAATCCTATACTTTCAAAACAGTAACATGGATTTTTCTTTTTCTGGAGGAATAAAATATTATACTGAAGGAACATTCAATAAGTACATTCCTAACTCCTCAAAAGTTCACCATCATCTAATGACCAGCAAAAAAGAGTACTACAGTAAGACGTGTAGCAATTTTAAAAATGTGAACAACATCAAACAACATAAGTAATATAAAGTTAGTTTAAAAATCCTATGAGAATTAAACATGTACCTAGGCTGGTCTTAAATACCGATAGTCTGGTTATTTAAAATATAGGCCTAATATGGAACAAGAGAGAATGGAAAAAGGAAAATGGAATATATTTATTCTTCAGAAATATATCATTTAAATTTACAAGTTTAAAATGTACAAGCAAAATGTCTGTGTCTTAACTAACTTGAACATATTATTGTTCAAGTGCACTTTCTTTTTTCACATAATGAAAATCTTTTATAGTCTTTGAGCTAGAAACTCAAGTCAAAGGGCAGAGAGCTGAACAAGAGAACAGGATTAGGCTTGAATAACATAAGAAATGTGTTTTGTCTTACAATCTCATGTCAGTTTCTGAAGCTGGATTAACTCCCACCCTCTGGAGTCCCTGAATAATCTCTGATTAAAGATAGACTTTTGTGAAAATGTTATTATGTTGGGATATACCACTTTTAAATAATGAACATCATCACAGTCTGCAATAATCTGCAAAAAAAAAAAAGAAAAATCACTGAGGAAATTCATTGACTTATTTTTCAATTTTTACTTTCCTCCTTAAAGTTAATTGTTTAATAAGTTTAACCTTATCACAAAGTTAAAATATTTGCTGTACTAACAATTGAAGCTGTGTTTGAATTCAAGTTTACCTGTACGTAAGGAAATAAAGCTCAGTTAATAAGGCTATAGATTAGTAATCTTTTTCAGACTTAAGCTATGCACCTAAATTAATTTTCAGCCTTGACTTATTGAAGGGTAAACTCAAAGAGAGTACAACTGACTTGCTCACTCAACTTTCCTACTAGGAATAAAACATGCATGCTCTGGTACCACATTATCACATGATTCGTTATTAATTTTACTTAGAAATATGGCAACATCAGTTTCAGTTCCACAGAGCATAATATTTCTAAACAATGAACACATGATTAATTTATAAAGCAGAAGGAAATAATGTAAAAGGGCAAAAAATATACGTTTTCCATTCTCCTAGCATAATAATTGCATTTTTCTTGAAAACCATTTGTATTTTAGGGTACATATGCTCTTACATTTTAGTATGCAAGAGAAATAAAATAATTTGATGCTTCTGTTTGTATCTGGATATTGAAAGTTAGCTAGCATGCTTTATGATCTACTGAAAGTAAATCAAATATAAACCATTGTGTACATGTATTCTCAATTACTTCATATTTAAATAAAGAAATCTTAGAAGGCTGATACTTTTCATTGTGACTTGAATCAAAGTAAACAGACGTTGGATTGAGACAGAGTATTTGAATGGTTGGCGGACTGCATTTAAAGAGTTATTATGCATATTTCAAAAAGTTCTAATATTTCCATGTATCTATTGTAGGTTTCAAATATTTAATGTATCAATCATGGGCTCTCAAAGATTGATTGAAGGGATGAATCAAAGGAAGATATGAGGTGAATCATTTACAAACGTCATAATGTGGTGTTAATGGATATTTCTTTATCTTTGTAAGTAGGGATTTGTATGCCCGTAATGGTCATTACACTTCTTAATGACTACAATACTTGCATACATTTTTAAAGTGTGTGTTTGTGTGTGTGTCTTTCAATTCAAAGTCAGTCAGACGACTTTTTCATTTTGTCTGTATGACTCTTAACGACTTTCTGATATCTAGGAATGTAAACTCCTAAAAGCAATGACAATATACTTCAACAAATATTTCAATGACAATGAATATTTCAGCATTGTTAATTGTTTCCTAGTCATTTTGATACCTAAATATTAAGCATTTCTAAGCGTAGTCTTTCACAATATAGCAGTTCTGAAAATACATACCTTGCACAGTTAGATGCACCTGCATTGTTCTGGGTGTATGTTGAGTCTGAACAGAACACGTGTATGGGCCATCATCTGTCACATCTACATTCTGTATCTGGAGGCTGTAGTCCCTTTTATTCAATGTTGAAATTGAAACTCGAGGATCCACTGACCACTTATCACCTCCCGCAAAAATAATACTTGACCGATTCAGCCAGGCACCCTTTGAAGCTCCATCTTCCAAAAAGCACCTAAAAATTACAAGAGATAGAACACTATTAATCAAAATAAAAATGAGAGACAACATTATTTTGTTCTGAGTGTTATTTTCTTTTGCTGAATAATAGCGCAGCATCAATTGAAAACATCAGACATTAACTCAGGAAACACGAACATACTGATGTATCTTCCATTCCCAATACAAATGTAAAACAATACTTGCATACAATTTTTTTAAGTGTGTAGTGTGTGTGTGTGTGTTTGTGTGTGTGTGTTTCAACTGAAAGTTAGTCAAAAGTCTTTTTCATTCTGTCTGGATGACAAATTTAAATAAAGTTAAATTAGTTTAAACAATTTTCTATGTTAAAGCCTATTTCTTCGTTTGAAATTATGAGAAACAGTAAAGGTCTATGATTTAGACTGACCTGACCCAATCTGACACTGAATATAATGTACCAGATGCAGAAATCATAGAACCATATAAGGGTGGATTTATTTATTTATTTATTTGTTTATTTCTTTATTTGAGGCAGGATATTACTCTGTCGCCCAGGGTGGAGTGGCACAATCTTGGCTCACTGCAACTTCCATCTGCTGAGTTCAAGCAATTCTCCAGCCTCAGCCTCCCTAGTAGCTGGGATTACAAGCGCCTGACACCGTGACTGGCTAATTTTTGTATTTATAGTGGAGACGGGGTTTCACTATGTTGGCCAGACTGGTCTTGAACTCCTGACCTCAGGCGATCCACCTGCCTCAGCCTCCCAAAGTGCTGGTTTTATAGGCTTGAGCCACCATGCCCGGCCTATAAGGATTTACTTTTAAAATAGCTTGCATTTGCACAGTGGGAAGCTTGTACACTGAAACTATAAACTATGTTTCACTGATAAAACTATAAACTGTGTTTACTGAATGCTGTAGTCATTAGATATAACAAAGCTAGTGTAACACTTTTATTAATAATGTTGCTCATTTTTGCAATTTATTGATCAAAGCCTTTATTTATTTATTTTTTTTATTTGAGAGGGAGTCTTGCTCTATTGCCCAGGCTGGAGTGTAGTGGTGCAATCTCGGCTCACTGCAAACTCCAACTTCCGGGTTCACGCCATTCTCCTGCCTCAGCATCCCGAGTAGCTGGGACTACAGGCGCCCGCCACCATGCCCAGCTAATTTTTTTTTTTGTATTTTTAGTAGAGACGGGGTTTCACCGTGTTAGCCAGGATGGTCTCAATCTCCTGACCTTGTGATCCGCCCACCTTGGCCTCCCAAAGTGCTGGGATTACAGGCATGAACCACCGTGCCCGGCCGATCAATATTTTTTTTTTAATAAAGCATTCATTTAGCCAGCAAACATTTATAAGGTATCTATGGATTTAAATAGGTATTGTCTCTTGCTGTCTAAAAGTTTTAGTCTAGCGAGGAAGACACAAGAGCAAACCAATTATTACTATACAGAAAGGAAAATATTTTTATGAAATCACACACAGGATGCATGAGAGATCAAAGAGAGTTACTTGAATCAGGGCATTGAAGGCATAGAGAAAGGCCTTCTGAAATAGGCAATGTCTGAGATAAAGAGGTCAGTACTGTAAGATATGGCATTCTAGACAGAGATGCTATGCTATATGTAGGCAGCACCTCTAGGCATTTCAAGGAATGACAAATAACCATGAGATATATGGTAAAAGGCATGAGAGATGGAATTGGAAAAATAAAACCAGATCCACATGATGATGACAAGCGTAATAACAATTACTAGATTTTAAGGCCAAATTTGCAGCCATATATTTAGTCATATTCTGTAACAGGTTTCAAAAATACAGCATTATGTTTAATAGTAGTCAGGCACATCAAGCTTTAGAACAGAAGAAGGCTGTGGTCATATACCAGTGATTTTGCTGAGGCCTGAAATTCTGTTTCATCTTGAAAATGTTCTGTTACAAATTAAAGACTGGTTTTCTTAAATGAGTACAAAGCACAGCTACAGAACGAAAACACACATACATAGAAATAGTTTGACAGCATTTCCACAGAGCACCTTGGGGGATTGAACACAGTGTTTTGAGATTGCTACAAAATTGCAAGCTGAAAGCAACAGGGTGGGCTGCTGTCAACTGTATGAAACTAATCAGTGGGTGAAAAAGTAAGGAACAAGGTACATTGCAGAATCTAATTTGCAGTCAGCTTTACCATCTACAGAATCCAAAACGGAAGTCGTAAAGGTCACTGTTAATTGAAAAGCTTGTCCTTATGTATTTATTAAAGAAAATAAAACCCCCTTTAATGACGTAATTAAATAATTCCAGCATATTGTTATTCTTAATAATATGCAGAAAGAAGATACAGGGGACATATTTCCCATTTCACAAGATCACATTTGTGCTGGTACAGGACAGAACTCTGAAATACCACTGCTAGGACTGTGATAATTCTAGTGTGTCATTTAGTATCTGCATTCATCAAGTGTTTCTGCGTAACCTCTGCATCTATGTCCTTCACATGTTTTTCTATTGCGTGTTCATAACAACTCTTTCAGGGTATATACTGCAATGCTCTCGATCACTAAAATAAATGGAGATATTTAGGTTAAATGACTGGCCTAAGCCACGAAATTAGTGGGTGCCAATGTTGAATTCATAATCAAGTCTTCTCTTTCCACATTCAATGTCCTTTCCACTGTAATGCAGATCAAAGACTTTTAAAATAGTTTTCCGAAATGGGAAAATGATTAGAATGTTGCAGAAATTACTGCAAGTAATTTCTTATTTACTGAATGTGACCAACTGCTTAACCTGTCCTAGTCTAAAGGAAGCAGAAAATTAATTATTAGTGGATGTTTTACCATGAAAGTCTGATTTAGAATGCTCTGTTGGGCATTTCCATTTCCCTAGAGGCAGTAGCAGCTTTACCTTTATTTTGGGGGTTTTAGGGAAGACTGCAGAGATTAACCAGTAATCTTAGCATAAGCACTGTTCCTCAATTCTGGCATGACATTGGCTGCCACAGAAGAATAGAATTCAACTTCTTCATGATGAAAAAGATGGAAAAAAAAAAAAAACATCATTTTTGTCTCCTTGGCTTCAATAACTATATTTTGTAATAGTCATTGTTCCCAACTCAAAGTTTTTCAAGATGCATGTTAGTAATACTCTTGAATGACAATCAGAAAAAAATATATATATTTTCCTTTTGGAAATTTTGTGGAATTTTGTAGAATTATTCTCAAACTACACTATTATGTTAGAACATAAATAACCCAAATTACCATACATGGAATTTTACAAATTTTGAATGGCAAGTCTATGTAGGCATGGTTATGTTATGAAATCATATAGAGAATACATGTAGTTTAAAGATCCAGTATGAGATGACTATAAAGAGCATGTGAATAGGCCAAACATACCCACACACATGGCTGTATGCATGTGTGGGTGTTGTTTTTTTTTGGTCATTATAAAGATTCCTTGAGAACAAGAACTTATCTTCTTCCTCTGTACCTCCTTTTTGTTCTCCACTTTACATCCTATTTTTTTTCTTTACAATACAAAGAGATATTGCTTGACATGTGTATGTTGTATTAAGAAATTTTGTAAGGAGGGAAGCTATGTAGGGTACAATGGGGTGGAGGGTGAGGGCCAAGTAGAGAAGCATGATACCAATTTATGTTTGTACTCTTTGGGTACCAACATTTTTTTACTTGGTTTAAAAAGTCTAGGGTCTACAAATATAAATTTGTTGGAATCCTGGCCCATACGGAATTTAAATTTTAGCAAGGATGATAAAGCATGTGTATGAACAGCCGTCATGCAGAACAGGAAGTGAAAAATGTAGTAATTAAATTGCCATTATAATTGGATTATTGAGATTCTCTGAGAGTCTCTGGCTTCTGCCCTTGACCCTTGTAGCCAGATCCGTTCTTCCCACAATAAGCAGAATGAACATTTTAGAGTTTAAGTCAGATCATCAACAACTCCAAGCCTTCTATTTAATTCATAAGAAAATTTATAATTCTGATAGTAGTCAACACAGTCCTATAGAATCTGGTCCCCTGATGTTTTCTGACTTTACCTCACACCCCCCTTTTCCACTTTGCTCTAGGTTGTGATCCTTTAGCTGTGCTTCCAACAAGCCAGGCATTCTCTTTCCTCAGTTAGTTTATATTTGCTATTTCTTCCTTGAAAAATTTTTCCTCTAAAGTTCTACATAACTTGTTCCCTATCTTCCTTAGGTCTTCATTAAATGTCCTAATGTATTAAATAGCAAAAACACCACGACTGTTCCAACACTCCCTGTAGACATATTATCCATTTACTTGATTGATTGTTGTCTCTCTCTTTCCACTAGAAGCAAGATCCAGGAATTTTGTCTATTTGGTTGCTTCTATATATTCCAAGGGTCTAAACATAATGAACGATAAATATTAGTGTGTGTTGAGTGGATAAATGAAGGTAAAAATTAGGAAAATTTTGGAGAAAGGAATAACATGATAAAGTGTATCAAAATTCCCAAAGTGCGGCATAGTCGGAAAAGCAAAATCACACCCATGTAAACTATAACATGTAATTAAATGCAAATATATATAGTACAGACGATAACTGGTGAATGATACAGAGGATGTGCTAAGCAATCTAAATCAGTAAGTGAAGAACTGAGCTAAGAATTCAGTGATCAGAAAAAAGGCAAGTCAGGGGCAGAGGTGGGCACAGATACTTGAAATAAGAAAGAACTACAGCATTTGACTCTACACTTCAGAAGCCCTTTTAAACCATTAGACATTCTGCTTAGTATGTGCTAGGAGTTTTGCTAGGCATTTTACATTTATTATACCATTTAAACCTAGAATAACACTGTGAGCCAGATACTACTATTATCTTCATTTTTTTAGATGAAGTAGTAAAGGTACTGGCAGGTTGTGATTGGACAAAGCAAGGTGGCTTGCATTCAAAACCACAGTGACAGACTATGCTAGTATTTTTAGAGTCAGGCAGCAGCAAGTCAGGGGGTCTCCCTGTTTAGAATGGAGGAATTAAGGCGT